CTGAACTGACTCCTTTGTCATTATATTATGCCCGTTTTTGCCTCTTTTTATAGTTTGCTTGTTAATTGCCAGGATGCGCATGTGTTCCGCAGAGAGTGAGAGGCAGAGGGAGCATTCCCAGTGGGGTATGGTCACACTACAGTCTGTTCATTTCTCCGTCCTGTTGGGGTTTCCGGCATGTATGCGCCTGTGCTCAGCATGTCTCTCAGGTTCCCAAGGCGGGAATCTAAACCACGTCAACCCTGTGGGACCTGGTTCTTTTAACCACTAGGCTATGGGGCCAGCCCTTTTCATAGTTTTTGACTTGAAGTCTATTTTATGTGATATCGATGTGGCAATTTCTGCTTGCTTTTGGTTTCTGTTTGCATATAATATCTTGTTCCATCCTTTCACTTTCTTTTTTTGCTGTTGTTTGCGTGTGTGCGTGTGTGTGTGTGTGTGTGCATTTGCCAGAGAAAGCAGAGAGCAAGAGAAAAAGTGAGAAATCACCGACTCTCTCCCCTCAGGGGAGATTACCATGCTGCAATTTCTTCTCCTCTCTTCTCCTCTTAGAACTTTGGTCACACATGCGCACACACCTGGCATGATTTTTCAAGCTGCCAGGTCCTGGTCTTGAACCACACAGTCGGCCATGTGGGATCCAGCCACCTTAACCTCCGTGCCATCTGCTAACCCTCTATCCTTTCCATTTCAACATAAGAGTGTCTTCACAAGTGAAGTGGGTTTCTTGTAGGACGTAAATAGTTGAGTCTTGTTTTTCTTTCTTTTTTTTTTAACCCATTCTGAGTGGGGACAGTAGCATAGTCTAAACAGGATTTCTTTAGCTGTAATCGCGGTCACTCATGGTGTCTGTGAGTGCCTCGGTGTTCAGACTGTGAATGTCTGTGGTTGTCATGGTACAGCTGCACTGGGGGGTAAGGACCGCCAAGTGGACCAGTTGGCTACCAACAGGAAGTAGGAGGGGCCAAAGGCACTGCCCGACCTTCTCCCGGAAGCCGGCGGACCAGCAGTCTCACATTCGTCTTTACCTGAGGAAGCGGATTTCAGTGGGGCCCTGTATACGCCCCATTCCCACTCTGAAGGACCCACCCCTGGAGGGGCTGGCTGCCTTGGCACCCCTAGTTTCTGCAGGCAGCCCTAGCTGTATACGTAACAGTCAATGAATATCATGGGAAGTCGGCTCCAAGTGAGGTCCCAGGCCTGAGGCCCCCTGGATAGCACAAGGACAAGGCTGGCCCTTTGCCACAATCCAGGCCACTTCACTCCAGGACTGTGAAGAAAGGGGAAGGAAGAAGGTCCCTCTCACTAGCCATTTGCCACCCTGCCACTCCTGTCTGTAGGCCTACAGGACCCTCGATAGCCTCAGGCAGCGTCCCAAGGCCTCCAGGCTATCCCCTCTTAAACCGGCCACTGTGAGTGAAGATAAAAAGCTGCCAAGAGGCATAAATGTTCACACACCCCTGTGTGTGTGCACGTGTGTGTGTGGGTCTCCAGCCCAGGCACGACAGAAAAGTGGAACTCCCTCCTGCGGGCACTGAATAATGCCACAAGGATTTATCCCAGGGACCAAGCTATTCCCTGTCCTAAAAAGTCAGGACTTGAGCTACCAACATAAAATACTATCTTCTAACCATTGACTTGCTGGGAATTCAATTTTTAAAACTTTACTTTTTATTGAGGTGGCAAATTTGTGCACAATGTGACACAATTCTTAAGGGTACAGCTTGGTAAACGTTCATGTATACACTCGTGTAACCACTACCCAGAACAAGCACAATATTTTCAGCCCCACTGGCACCCCAGGAGACTCGTTCAAGCCCCTCTCAGCTAATTCCATCCCCCAGAGGGAACTGCTACTCCGATGTTCTCCACCATTAATCTACTTTATCTCTCCCTTTCTCTTTTTATGTTTATTTATATATTTCTTTGGAGGGGTGCCCCAACAGGAACTCCACACCATAATCCACCCTGTTTTAGCCACGCAGATTATGGTTATGAATATGCACACGTTGCACACACAGGGAGGTCCCAGGATCCAAACACAAGACCTTCCCCAGTGGGTCCAGTTGCATTACCTGTGTGCCTCCATCTGGCCCTGCTTTGCTTGTTCTTGCACTTCATGTAACTGGAATCCTAGAGCATGCACTTTAGATCTACTTTATGTTGTTCAACATTATCTCTGTGAGGTGTATCTATATTGCTCCGATAATGCTAGGTTTTCCTTTTTCATTGCTAAGTAGTATTCCATTGAGTGGCTATGTTACCATTTATTTCTCTACTCTTGCTGTTGATGGATATCTGGGCTTCCAGATTTTAATTAATATGATTATTTTTCAAATTATTTATTTATTTAATTTTATTTCTCATTATTATTTTTTAATTTGACCAGACAGAGAAAGAGGGAAAGTGAGAAAGCAAGCTACCAGGTCCAGGACTCAAACCATGGTCAGTCATGTGGAAGTCCAATGCCTTAACCACCATGCCACCTGCCAACCTCCTTAATTAATATTATTAAAGCAGCCACATTCCTCTGCATGTTTTCCGGTACATATAAACATAGCTACCCACGCTTGAGAGAAAATTTTGACGGCGACACCTGGTTAATAAAATCCAGGAAGGAAAGGAGGGATTAAAAGTTATTGAGCTCCCACTCTGGGTCATGGGCTTTTTTGGGTTCACTGGACCACTCGCAGCGGAGGAGGACAGACAGAGCAGCCCCCAAGAACTTCACCGACATCATCCCTGAGCTCGAGCCTGGCGTCAGCCCTGTGTGGGTGTGTTGCTTCTCGAGTTTACCATAGACTCAGTAGCTGGAAACAACAGGAGCATGTTCTTTCACAGTTACGGAGGCCGGAAGTCTGGAATCAAGGTGTTGACAGGGTATGTCTCTGTCTGGAGCTCTGCAGATGAGTCTGCTCCATGCCGCACTCCTCGCTTCTGGTGGCTGCTGTCAAATCTTGGCATCACTTGGCTTCCTCAATCTCTGTCTCTGTCCTTCAATGGCCTTCTTCTCTATGTGTCTCTATGTCTGTCTCCAAATCTCGCTCTCCCACCCTAATCCAGTACGATTTTATCTTAACTGGATTACTTCAACAAAGACCCGATTTCAAACTGAGGTTGGATTTCTAGGTACTGGGGTTTAAGACTCCAATGTGTCTGTTAGGGGGACACAATTCAACCAACAGAAGTAATGACTGTGTGTGTGTGTGCGTGTGTGTGTGACTTGTGAGTATGCGTGTCTGTGTGGGCGTGTATACGTATGAGGGCATACTGAGTCCGATATGCCTGTGCTCGTGAGCATGCGTCTGTGCAGTGTCCCTGGCTGTGGGCATGTGTACATGGGCACATGTGTATGTGTGCTGCTAGGGGGCAGACTTGGAGCCCCTGCTAGGTGGGTGAGAAGGGAGACCAGGCAGCATGGCAACAGCAGGTTGAAGAGGTACTTGGCACCAGCCAGACGAGCAGGTGGGGCCTTGCCTCAGGAATGTGCAAGGCTGGCTGGTAGAAGCCAGCTCTGGGAAATAGGGCAGGGTGTTGTTGAGCTGGGGCACAGGTTGGTAGGCCCGGTGGTGGCCCCCACAGCAGTGGTCATTCCTAGGTCCCCTTCCAGGAATGTTCCTAGAAGGCCCTGCCATCCAAGCTCGTGTCCCTTGCACCCTATTTACCTGGACAGGCAGGCACTGGCCGACTCTTCCCTTCCCAGGGCTGGAAGGTGGCACTCCTTGGTGTACAGTACCAGCCCCTCGAGCAGCACCCAGTCACATCCCCACACTTTGGCTGGACCCTAGAAATCAAAGACAGGGGTGAGCCCATGGTCAGGTGAGGCCCAGGCAAAGGGCTCCTTACCTCCCCAGAGCAATTCTTGGGCACATGCACCACCAAGCAACGCGACCTTGGGAAGTTCTCCCCAGCAGTGATGTCAGTTCAAGGCCCACTCTGAGCCAGGGGATCTCATTAAAGCTTCACAGCCAAGTTTAAACGTTTCTCTCCTTACCCCCCATGTCACAGGTGCGGACAGAGGCCCCAAGGAGTTAAGTCGTCGGCCTTTTAAATTCTCCCTGGAAACCCATGTCCTCTGCCCCCACCCCAGACTCAGACAATACTGCTCCGACCACAGCCCACCTGCTCACAGCCCACCTGCTCAGGGCACCCTGCGCTGTCCGGGTGCAGTGTTCCTCCAGCCCTCCCCAGGAGGACTCCCTGGCCTGGGGTAAGTAGTGCCGAGTGGTCTGCCCTCCCCTCCCATTCTCGGGTTCCTTTAGGAGTCCTGATTTTGCTTATGGTGTGGCAGTAAGGTCATTGTGCTTTTTGAGAATGCTGGTGGGTTTGTATGCATGTGTCTGGAGGAGGGGTGCCTAGGCATGAGGGTGCACCCCCAAGAGGGTTTACTCACCACCAGGGGTGCATGTGAGCATGGCTGCCGTGGGATCTACACTGAATAGGGGGTGCCTGTGTGTGCCCAGGTGCAGGGGTATGAGCCCGGGTGGAGGGTTGTTTAGGAACTGCACAGCCCCTGCATGTCGGCCGGGCGTCTGTACAAGTATGCGACTCTTCCCATCTCCCTGCTTCCCTACAGCTGCCACTCCTCCGTTCCAGGACTCCTGGGCCCCAGGTAAGGGCCTGGTGAAAACCACATCGATTGGGGGAAGACACAACACCTGAGTCTCACGCCCTGCGGTGGCTGCTGGTGCCCTTGAGCCGCGGTGCCCCACCCAAGGGAGCAGGAGAGGGAGTGCCCTCGCCCAACGGGATGGGGTGAGCCGGGGGAGGAGGCAGCAGCCGGCTTCCAGCTCCCTGGATGGGAGGCTCATTACCGGCACTCGGGACGTTGCCGGGAGGGGAGGTCGAGCCAGGACTTGGCTCTGACTACAAAGGGTGGGGGCACCCCCGGCTCTCCCGCCGGCTGGCCGGGGGAGGGGCTGTGACGTTCGGTGGCCTCATGCCGCCGGGAGGAAGTAGCTAATTGCCGACCTGATGACTGGCGGCCGAGCAGTGGGGTGATGGTGCCACTCGCGGAAGCAGGCGCCCAGGCCGGAGGAGGGGGCCCTTCGGCGGTGGGGTGGGCCCGCACTCTGCCGAGGGCGAGGCGGAGGTGGCCGGACCCAAAGGAGAAGGGGGTCGGGTTTTGTGGAGCCTGCGACCGTGGGAAAGGGCTTCTCCCGGGCTTCCCTCAGCTTCAAGGGAAGAGTTCAGAGGCCCCGGGGCTGAGGGGATTTGGGAAGGGGCTTCAAGGGGACGGGACGGGGTGGCGGCAGACGCTTTCTCATCTTGCTCCCTCTGCGCCTACACGCCGCCTGGGGCCAAGGCTGGTGAGGAAGGAGGGAGTCATGGAAGGTCCTTCCCACCGGAAGACCCCCAGGCACCCAGGCACCGGCAGCCCTCCCTGCTGAGGCCGGACCTCCAGAAGCGCTGAGCCTCCAGCTGTCCTCGTGCAGGAGAGCCGGCTTCAGGCAGAGGGGCCCCACGAGCGAGGGCGAGGCGGCGGGGTGCGGGGCTCCACTGCGGTTGCCGTGCCAGGGGGTCCGGACAGCATCGCTCTGCACCAGGGCCGCACTGTCCTTCCTGCAGCAGTGGGCACCCAGCACGTGGAGCGTCTCCCTGCGGCTGAGCTCCCAGACAGACCTGGCTCGGCCAAGGCCCAAGACCAGGGCAGGGACCTCCCGGGATGGGACCCCACGCTCCAAATTCCCAGGTGCATTAGCCCCAGAGAGCCGCAGTCCGGAGTCCCTAGAAACGGCCCGATCATCCGTAGGTGCTTGCTCTGGGCCCCAGCGCCCCCTGTGGGCAGAAGCGACACGAGTGGGGGAGGGGCTCCACCAGCCAGCTGGGGAGCGGGACAGGGACAGACTTGGCCTTGGGTACGCACGCAGACGCTGCCTCAGGGAACCCCCAGTGTGATGAAAGACACAGAGATGCTGACCTCGAAGCGCTGGACTGACGGGGAAATGCACCCTGTCCTCAGGACGTACCCGACCGGACGGAGGAGGCAGGTTACCCCCTGAGCGCCATTCCGAGGGCTGAAACGCACCGTCTGACATCAGGAAACTCCCAGTCTCTTAAATGGGGGAGACACTTGGATTTTTAGGGAACCCCCCATCTGTTTTACCTCTAGCGATGTAAAAATACAAAACTACAAGTCATCCTGTGAATTTGAGAATCAGATAATCAACGAATAATATTTTACTATGTCTTATACACTATTCAAGACATACTTATACTGTGTAAGTAGGTCCCATGCAGTATTTGGGACATACTTGTACTGTTAAAAAATGAAGTATTAAATTCAACTGGACATCCTGTATTTTTAGTTGCCAAATCTGGTAATGCTAGGCACCTGCAGGTGGAGGGAGGACACTCTCCCATCCCACACTCGGGAAAGCAGGTAAACGCGGCGGCGTGCTCAGGAGGGCAGGGTGGGGCAGCAGGGGAGTCCTGGGGCTCAGTTCGCAGCCGTTTAAAATTCCTTGCAGGCCAGATCCCTAATCCTTCGCGCACAATGGCGGCCTTCTCCCCCGCCGCCCGCGCCCACGCCCTCCC